TACAGATACAGTCGAGTTTCAACTGCGTTACAGCCTTAGTTTTTGAACCCCGCGCCAAGGCCGCCATTCACACTTAGTTCAAATTTAGTTGGTCTGACTCCAGCTTCCGTTTTGGACTGAATTCTGACGTTCAGATCAAATCTTCAAGACGGTCATCATTTCGGATTTGGCTCTCTGACTAATATGCCCATGCGTCCCGTTTACACGTCAAGAAGCACATCACGTGCTACCGCATTGCGTTTCTGAAAGGACCCATGCTCTGACTGGCCAAATCAGCTGACGTTTGGCGACCCCGGAAACTGAATCTGGGCTTAAAATCGTCCTCCCGCTTAAATGCCGCCCGGTGATCTATTTCAGTGCCACACAAAGGCCTTGGAAGGCCTCCAGAGGGTAGTGACCATGGCGGTCCTTGACATCCGCAGTCATACAGTTTCAGCTACGTCGACTGAGACGGTTTGTCTTGTTCTTTCTCTCCATCATTCATCATACTATGTTCTCTGCCTGTCTTAGCGTACCGTACTATGACAATCAAGAATGTTATGGATACCGATACCGGCATCAAACGGGATAATCGAATCGAGCGTTTCTTCATTCGATATTTGGAACAAAAACTCCCTGGTGATTTGAATTTCTTCAGAGGCCTTGACACTTCCACATCCGTGTTAACGGTAGCCCTTTGGTAAATGGTCTCCGGATCCAGGAAGCTGTTGCTGACCAACTGTGGGGAGAGGACAATGAGATTAAGGTTGAAATTTTCTGGGTACGTTTGCAGCGAGTGCAGTGGAACAAAAGGTATGGTTTCTCAGATCTTCAGACAAACATATCTGGCAGCAGGATCAACCGGGGAGGCAATTGGACAAAGGGCACGAAAATAAAGTTTAACTTGAGGGTTTGTTTGTTCAAATCTGGAGTTTTAGACGTAGTACACCACTCATAAGGTTGCCCACAACCGGCTTCGTCCATCTTAGGGCTCATCAGGTAGGCGCAGTCGCCTGGAGTTTCCTGAGATGCGCACTTCTGTAAAAACCCCCCCCCCTTTGTAACTCCATCCCGTACCCCCTCTGAACTGGCCAAATTGACCAGCCTCGTTGTGTTTTTCTTTTCTGTTTGTAAGGAGCGCATAAATCCAACGGCCCACTACTGAACGCATATCTCATCATCTCTTCTCGCCCCTTGGCTTTAATTCTCAACAAGACCAACCGTCAGTGATGTTTTCACACAAGCTGAGTTGGGCGCCAAGCGAAGTAAATAATTTTATTTGTGGTTCCAAACTTACCCAATAGCCTGATCAGATTTTGCGTTGGTATCGATTTAACTGAATTTCCTATCCTATCACCGCATCACTGTCAAACACCTCCAATCTAATATAAAACCTTCCTGCTACAACGGTCAGTTTTACATGCCACCAATTGATGACTCACCGTCATCACAGTGGCCTTGTAACGCAGTTGAAACTCGACTGTATCTGTATGCACGTCTATCACATGAGCTTATGTGTCTCTCCCCTCCCTCTCTCCCTGTTGCAGGTACCATGGTCGAACCACCACGAGCCCCGGACGGGAAAGAATAGCCGCTTGTACAACCCCCCACCCCCGGACTGACCTTGACCGGCCCCCCTTTGATTGTACATTTCTACTTTCCCGTTTCGGTTTGGT